ACAATATTCCCAAAATGTCCCCAAAATATTCCTTCCGTAACATTTTTGTTCAGTATCGAGAAACAAAATCTAGGTGAATCTGGGACGTGAACCGCAATCACGTGTTTCTGGAATGCCTGATTTCGACAACACTGCACAGCACATTGCAGAACCTTACAAGACATGATAACCTTGACCCCAGCGAAGAACACTGTAGTTCAGCCTGGATTGTATCGCACACACACGTGCACATGTGATATTAATGTGAGTAGTGTCAACAAACATATATACTACTCAAAACAAATTAAGAACACACATCTGTAATTCAACACCCAAGATATAACAGGTTACCTGTAGTCACATAGAAACACCAGATGATCTTTGACTTCTTGTGAGTTTACATATCATACAAATTATAGAAACAAAAATGTTAAACCAAATGAAACGAAAAAACAACCATAAATACCGGTATTGAAAATAAAACAACATAATCCATGAATAAAAATTCAGACACAAAGTAAAACAATATACGTGTACATGCATTTATTGAATTTCTGTCGACGGAATCAAACATAAAATGGTTCATCATTAACAAAAAACGGAACTAAAACATGTAGACTAATGAACACCTGATCCTGATAACATGAAATAATACCATACATCCTCAAAACACAACAACCTCCGATGACATACAATCACAGTGTGACTGAATCATGGCACAATTGCTTATGGCTCTACCATCCATTGATCACTGACAACCTCTGTCGCTATTTCGTAAATACCTTCAATATTTATCTGTCATGGTGTTTCAAGGTATAATACAATAGCAGTTTAAAAAGAACCGTTCTTTATTACACAAATACTATACTTTGCAAGTTGCCGGGACCCCCCAAAATGTTTGTTATATACTGAGAGAAACAAATAAAGGATCACAGGAAAATGCAAGCGTTCCTTTATAATTTTCCAGTTTTCATCACCACAGTGCTTTCAGAGATGGTGATGAAAACTGGAAAATATTAAAGGAACGCTTGAATTTTCCTGTGATCCTTTATTTGTTTCTCTCAGTATATTAGTCACTTTATTAACATGAGTGAGTGAGTGAGTTTAGTTTTACATCGCTCTTAGCAATATTCCAGCAATATCACAGTGGGGAACACCAGAAATGGGCTTCACACATTGTACCCATGTGGGATATCGGACCCCGGGTCTTCGGTGTGACGAGCGAACGCTACCCCACCATCCCACACTTTATTATAGTTTACAGTGTACAGTCTGATTATAATCTGACTGTATATACAACCTGGTATTATCAATTACCACATACTTTCATAGCTTCTGCTACTTCTTGTAAAGCCCTTATTTTCAAAGGTATATTCAGAGCATATACAACTGAGGGAAAAAGGGAAAATCCTCTATAATGGCCCTGCTACCAGTAAAACACAATTGAACTCTGGTAATCCATACCATTAGATATAACTGCTGTAACATGACTGTACTTTTAAACTCTCATTTGGGGAATTTTTACGGATATCTGCACACTTACTACAAACCCTAAAAGGTTCCTAAATTCACTCAAACAAGGGGCAAGACACACCTAAAAATGCTGTGACATTAAAATGCTGTCACCTTTTATATAGTTTAAAAGTTCCAAATCTCACTTTTTACCTGCTTTTAAATGCATGTAAAATACTCCCACTTTAAAACCAGGCCTGCTCAAACAATAAATCTTGCACATTTTCCCCACCACAAAAATGGATAAACTTTAGTTAAAAAGCATGACGTTATGACCAAACATATCGCACCCAACAGACACTGTCACACATAACCCAGCAACAGATTGTGGATTGGATAAAATAAACAAAGACAGATCAATAACTCACATCAGTATAGACTGAATAAGGTACCATTACAATACCTTCACTGAACTCAGGCCTAAACACAGGAACATCCATTTCTTAATGTCCTAAACAATTGATAACTTGCAGTTTCATAAAAATGGTCCAAACAAAAAATGCTTTAAACCAACATAATCCAACAGTCTATGTAAATGTATCAGATGATATAGAAACTTGTTTCCATCTCTTCATTGTTGTTAGTTTTCAGCAAGTTCAGATCAACAGATCCTACAACACCAAAGGGACTCAACTCTGCACAGCAGAATAGGTACCTCGGACCATTGAGTCACCCATAACACAGTTAATTGTAAGGTAAATCAAATGAATGACTCCTAATAATAAATCCAGAAAAAGAGTAAAAGGCTATAAAAAAGTATTAGATTTTCATCCTTACCAGACTCTCTGCCAAACAGCTCACATCTCTTTACTGTCCTTGAGAGTCTTGAGATGAGGAAAGGCTATACATGTTACCCTTTTTCTCAAAATGATGAAGTACCAACAGAAATTTAAATTTCATGCGAATCATATCCCTCCACGGTAAATGTACAGATGCCTTTCACAGTTTGTCAAAAACAACAGGTAAACAATACAACATAAAACATAAAAATGACCATCAAAATATGGATGAAAATCTAATTCTTTTTTGTGGCCTCATGTACGGTTATGATAACATGGTAACCATGGCAACTGAGACAGTGAATATAGAACAGCAGCCGTTGTACGTGTAGACCAGCACTGTAGATCATGTCCTCCTTTATAACCGAAGTGTGGCACTATTTACATATACACCTAACATACCTCACAGATCAACTGTGGTATAAACACAACAAAATGCCTCTCTACACACTTCATTCTGCATCAACACCTGTCATCTCACAAACTGAAATTTGTGTTTTAAGGACAGCAAAATAACATAACTTCTTTGAGAGGCATTTAGAAGTTGAAGCAGTAAGGAAGGATAACAATATATGGATGAACGACTTCTTTAGTGCTGTGGACCCGTGAAGATCCGGGGTAGAATAGGTCTTCAGCAACCCATGCTTGCCACAAAGGCGACTATGCTTGTCGAAAGAGGCTGACTAACGGGATCGGGTGGTCAGGCTCGCTGACTTGGCTGACATATGTCATCGGTTCCCAATTGCGCAGATCGATGCTCATGATGTTGATCACTGGATTGTCTGGTCCAGACTTGATTATTTACAGACCGCCGCCATATAGCTGGAATATTGCTGAGTGCGGCGTAAAACTAAACTCACTCACTCACTCTTTAGTGCTGTGAGAGCGACGTTTCGGTGTAGGTTCTAACACCGTTGTCAAGCAAGTGATCATCCATATCTTGTTACCCTTTCATAGCGTAATAACATGATGAAATAGTGTGCAGATATACTCATGGAAACAAATAAGGGAACACATGAAAGTCCAAGTGTTCCTTTATTCTTTTCCAGGCTTCTTCACAAGGTATATATTGCACTGTGGGTGAAATTCTGGAAATAAATAAAGGAACATTTGTACTTTCATGTGTTCCCTTATTTCTTTTCCATGAGTATATTTCCACTGTTACATGTTCACAGAACTACAGTAGCATAAAGAGCCAATGTCGAAATGATTTCATTTCATTCAATACACCATACAAGCATATCTGTTATGATACATAATAAAGAAAATGATGAATAAATATGATATGTGGATCATTGAAACATACTGCGGTAAAATGAATCAAATGTTCGACCCACAATCCATGCATGAACAGGAAATATCTTAATTAAAATGAAAATCTACAAGAAATGATCTAAATATATTGCCATGACAACAGTTGTAGCAGGATCTTGGTGCTACCTGACCATCTGTGAAAGACAAACGTACGGAATTGCTCTACACCCATGACAACCAGCTGATGACAATTTCAGTCACTGTTAGGAAAGCTGTACCAATAATTACAATAGATAATGCAGAGAATAGCCATAAAGTTCCAGTGATGATCTCATAGATATCAGATCTTAGTTCTTGCTACTGTCTGAGGATATCACTTGAATTGTCATGTCAGAACAACCTTCAATTGAGTGAGTTGGGTTTTATGCCACTAGCAATATTCCAGTAACATCACAATAGGCGACACCAGAAATGGGCTTCACATATTGTACCCATGTGGGGACTCGACGCTTTAACCACTCAACTACTCCACCGCCCCCTTTCATTAAACAAATCGGGGCATCGTTTACCAGATTGGAAAAGTGATAACGGAATGTGTTTTTTTACCAAACTATTACTATGCAACCTTGACAAGGATAACAAAGATATTCCAAACTACAGATATAGGCTGAACAACTGATTTTGTCAAAATTATCGTCCCTCTCTTGCTTCAATGAAAACATTGAAAACACTTTCAACAGTCTGCAGGAATTACTATCATATACACAAGATATAATCACAGTCATCGAGTAATGGTTCCGGAATATGCTCACGATCATCTTTCAAATTTTGAATGGCGAACTTTGTCAAAATCTATTTTAAAGTGTAGATGCCAGTATGAAACTAGCCTTACTGACTGAGAAGGCTGCTTACTGACATAAATTCTTTTGATCAGTCGGTCAAAATGGTCCTAAGTTGTTTTGACATAACATGGTAACGGTATTTCCTCAGATCATTACCGGTATGTAGCAGTCATAAGAACTAAGATCTGATTTCAAATGAGACTGTTTCAATGATGGATATGAAATCTTGACGCCTATAGAAACATGTGACATGATGTCAAATACACTGATAAACTTGCAAATAATCTGTAATAGATTGTCATCCAATTATTACAGATTGACCACAGCAAACATGAAAGTGTGCATTTCTATCCAATAAGCAATAAACCTACTCAGGGCACAATTCTCCATGTGCTCATGTTACTCCTGAAGTGAGCAGTGGTCGAGTGAGTGAGTGAGTATTGTTTTATGCCGCTTTTAGCAATATTCCTGCAATATCACCGCAGGGGACACCAATAATGGGCTTCACACATTGTACCCATCTGGGGAACTGAACCCGGGTCTTTGATGTGATGAGCGAACGATTTAACCACTAGGCTACCCCACTGCCCGAGCAGTGGTACAAAATTAAGCAGTAAGATGAATGGGTTTTGTATATTAGCCCTTACTTTAAAAGGCAAATATTTAGGGGCTGTCTAGATTCAGATCCCCAGGGTGTTTTAGGGTGTCCCACTATTCAGGTTCCTTGCTAAATTGGTAAAGATTCAGGGTTCCGCAAATCGAAATACGCTAGGGGCACCCTTAACGATCCCAGGGACCACTGTCTAGTGAACACAGAGAAAGAGTAAGAGGGACAGCCATTAATCACTTTCAGGCAATCTACTGATGATATTGGTTTTAAATAATCAATTTGAGGAAACACTTGATCCTGTTGCACGAAGGCTTGTCAGAATGTTTTGTGCAGAACATAGGGACTCCACTGGACAGCCCTCTATACTACCACTTGCTGTCTACAGCTACTCATCTGTAGGTATCTCACACCAGCTGTCTGTACACTGCAAGGATCCTGTGCTAACGTTTTACAGCATCACTTGATCTTCACCTATCCACTTTTGATCTGCATTTAACCATTTGTGATCATCAGCTATACATAAGTGGTTTTCAACTATACATCTGTGATCTTCAACTCCACTTGTGATCTGCATCTAACATCTTGATTTTCATCTATCCACCTCTGATCTTCAACTATACATCCGTGATCTTCAACTATACACTTGTCATCTGCAACTATCTTGATTTTCATCTATCCATCTGTTATCTAAATCTATTCATCTGTGATCTGCAACTATCTGATTTTCAGCGATACATCTGTGATCTTCAACAATCCATCTGTGATCTTCAACTACACACCTGTTGTCTGAAACTATGTATCTGTGATATGCACCTACCCATCTGTGATCTGCAATTACACACAGATACCAGTCTGTATCTGTGAGTCACTAGCCTGTAGCTCAAGTGTAGTAAACATTTCTTTGTGTAAGAGTAAGCTCAGCTCACAATAGCCCATATACTATATTTATCTGAAAAAGCAGTCAAAACACAGGCTAGTAGACTCAATCATTCTTGGCAGAGACTGTACTTGATGCCTTGAGCCCATGAATAAAGCAGAAAGCGTTTGAAATTGTCAATAATTGATGAGTTTTCAGCTTGCAGATTTTTGGCACAGACTGGGATACTGTATAAATTAGGTCTACACAAGTCAATCACTTCTGGTCAGCCTCTACGTCCATATTGTTAATCAACGTGGCTTTCATCTCCGTGTCGCCCGTTGTCCTTGCCCGCACAGCCATCTCAGTTCGGTCAGCTCTGTAATAACAGAATTGTGATTATGTTATTGCTCTAATCCTGCATATGTTTGTATCAATACATATAATATTACATGAAGAAGCTGCACCCAATCTGTCTATGGTCAAGATAATTCACACATTGTAACCATGTGGGGAATCGAATGTGGATCTTCAACGTGATGAGCGAAAGCATTAACCATTATGCTACCCCACTGCCCTCTACTAGCTATGGAGAAGTAGTAGAGGTGCATGTATTGATATCATCTTCACAGTTGTCATCATTGTAGCCATCCTACTCATCAACATTACCATCATCATCATCATCAATCATCATCATCATTAATCAACATTATCAATCATCATCATCAATCATCATCATCAATCATCATCATCATCATATCATCATCATCATCATCATCAATATCATCATCATCATCATCATCATCATCATCATCATCATCATCATTCATCATCAATCATCATCATCATCATCATCATCATCATCATCATCATCATTCATCAATCATCATCAATCATCATCATCATCAATCATCATCAATATCATCATCATCATCATCATCATCATCATCATCATCATCATCATTCATCATCATCATCATCATCATCATCATCATCATCATCATCATCAATCATCATCATCATCATCATCATCATCATCATCATCATCATCATCAATCATCATCATCAATATCATCATCATTCATCATCATCATCATCATCATCATCAATCATCATCATCATCATCATCAATCATCATCATCATTCATCATCATCATCATCATCATCAATCATCATCATCATCATCATCATCATTCATCATCATCATCATCATCATCATCATCATCATCATCATCATCATCATCATCATCAATCATCATCATCATCATCATCATCATCATCATCATCATCAATATCATCATCATCATCATCATCATCATCATCATCATCATCATCATCAATATCATCATCATCATCATCATCATCATCATCATCATCATCATCATCATCATCATCATCATCATCATCATTCATCATCATCATCATCATCATCATCATCAATCATCATCATCATCATCATCATCATCATCATCATCAATATCATCATCATCATCATCATCAATCATCATCAATATCATCATCATCATCATCATCATCATCATCATCAATATCATCATCATCATCATCATCATCATCATCATCATCATCATCATCATCATCATCAATCATCATCATCATCATCATCATCATCATCATCATCATCATCATCATCATCATCATCATCATCATCATCATCATCATCATCATCATCATCATCATCATCATCATCATCAATCATCATCATCATCAATATCATCATCATCATCATCATCATCATCATCATCATCATCATTCATCATCATCAATATCATCATCATTCATCATCATCATCATCATCATCATCATCATCATCATCATCATTATCATCATCATCATCATCAATATCATCATCACCATCATCATCAATCATCATCATCATCATCATTATCATTCATCATCATCCATCATCATTCATCCATCATCATCATCAATATCATCATCAATCATCATCATCCATCATCATCATCAAACTAACACCTGCTGAAAATGATAAGATTGGAATTTAAATGGCAAGACTTACTTTTTGCCAAGTGCCATGAGGCCATAGAAGACAGCCGTGGCCATGATGAGAGCACAGGACAACAGCTGTGTCAGCGTAAAACATAGGGCAATCGGAACTACTGCACATCTGGAACAAGACAACAGTAATCAGCATACGAAACTTCCAAAAATCTGTACCAGACCTTAGGGCTGATAACTGTTGTGACCTACCGACCAACCAGTCCAACTGTGAAGATCCGGGTTAGAATTGATCTTCAGTAACCCATGCTTGTCGTGAGAGGCGACTTGACTGACACATGTCATCATGTCCCAATTAAGTAGATTGATGCTCATGTTTATTAGCAACATTTGTCAAAGATAACATAGCTGCCTCAAAGAACACCTCAATAACTCCATATTTGTAAAACATACCAGTCATCATAATGAACACTTCCCAAAGGAGTGAGTGAGTGAGTGTAGTTTTACACCGCACTCAGCAATATTCCAGCTATATGGAGGCAGTCTGTAAATAATCGAGTCTGGACCAGACAAACCAGTGATCAACAGCATGAGCATCGATCTAAGCAATTGGGAACCGATGACATGTGTCAGCCAAGTCAGCGAGCCTGACCACCCGATCCCGTTAGTTGCCTCTTACGACAAGCATGGGTTACTGAAGATCAATATTCTAACCCGGACCTTCACGGGTAATTTCCCAATGGAAAGAGAGAGAAGTATTCTGTTATTATAGTTATGATTAACAGCTGAATAAGTTGGAAGGCTGTCTTACACTCCATATAGTATAGCTTTCTGAAGATGTGGCCTTGCATCTGACCATCGTCCCAGCGGCTGGATGAAGTCTAGGAAAGGGCAGCAGCATGGAGCTTCCATGGCTATCAGCATGCACCCAATCATCCTGAAACATGGCAAGAAGCTAAACGCATGAGGAGGAACTGGAAACGGGCACACAGTGATTATTAACCAAGTGTTTTCGTATCACATGGGTACATATCATATATTAGAAAAACATAATGCATTAGGTAAGCTGTTGGTGAGGACAATACTTCTTAATAACAGTCAAATGAGCACTGAGAATTGCAAAAATTCACATTTTTCTGCCCTTAAGGTTATTTCTATACTTACTACCATAGTAAATGAACAAACGTATCGAGACTCATCATAAATGTGCCATAAATACACGACATTAGAGTATTATATACATAGCAGAAACTCAGAAGTTTCAGATCTTCCTTGGACATATTGCCTAATCAAGTGATATCTCCATTGGAAGCCAAATACGAAAGATAAATCAGCATCCCCATGATCACTTGCTTGTTAATATACTTCAGAAAGGTCTCTTCATGACTTGAAATTTCTCTTTTCAGAGACAATTCATTATTCAACATGTTAAATTGTTAGTCACAGTGTAGCATAATATTCTTGAATATTCATGAGCTCTGTTTTTGCTGGTTATATTTACATAAGGCTACAACAGATTTACACATGAGAAGTGATTGTATGACTTAAATCATTCTGTTTAGACAAAGATATCTATACATTTGATGACAAAATGGCCAGCTATGTACAATGTGATCACTGCATGACTCATATACATTACAAATGACAAATTCACAGGGGTTCAAAAATCCCATCGCCCGGCGCCCGGGACAAGTCAGTTTTCATTTCGGGCAATCAAATACTGGTATCTTACTTGTCCGTGGGCTACTAGATAATCTCTGCTTACGGTTTCAAACTGCAAATAAACTTGGATTTCATTTCATATCTGCTCAAAATGTAGCTACTAAAGTTTGCAATGATAATTAAGTAGATGTTATCATTGTTTGCCATTTATCACTTCTCCATAAACAGTCCAGTGAACATTAACATCAAATACCATGTTGATTTATTCTTTCATAATTACATCATCATGATTGTGTCATAAAAATCAGGTCAAGTGGAAAAATAGCCAGGACAAGTTACTTTTTTAAAGTCACTGTGGCAAGTGGCTTTTAAAAAAATATTTGAACCCCTGATTCATCAAATCTACACAATATATAGCAATAGTTTACACATACTTACATCAATATAACAGCTGCTGCCAAACATATTGGGGTAAATGTGAAGCAGTTCATTATTCCAATAATAAGCGCCGCTGAAAACAAACAAAAGAAATTCAGACTCACAGAAAGATGGCTGGTAGGCCATTCTTCCTACTTTTCTGTTTCTAAACAGTAATAACTAATGTACTGAGCCGTTGAGTGCAGTAACTCAGGCGAACCGGTTTCATTGGCAGAAAGAACAGTGTTATGAATGACATTATTCCTTTATTCAATCCTATTTCGTTTCCTTATACCAAATCATTTTCCACTCGTCAGTTACAGTTTTAAATTCTTCAATTCCTAATTTTCCATGTAACCTTAGCTTCCTGCCTGTCCATGCTCACTCCGAGAATGTTACCTGTACCGAGAGAATGAATGAGAATATTCCCTTCAGTAACCCATGCTTGTCAGAAGAGCAGTGAATAAAACAATTTGCCAAGTAACCTTATCTTCAAACAGTGAGGTCATTTTCACCTGAAATATTTTCAAACCAAATGTATATTAAATGGTATTGTTGTCGTGGTTACCATCCACATATTTTGGTCATTCTTGGATATACTAAACAAAATAATACGAAAACACCAATGGGCTACAATACCAGGTAAGGAAATAAATGACATTAAGGATAAAAAAAATGGGTCAAAAAGTACTGATATCAGAAGAAAATCAGTAAACAATGATTATGTGTGGATAATCTCAATGGTGAAGATACAGGTTAGCATTGGTTTTATCAAATGTTTAAGCAACCTACGCTTGTCACAAGAGACCACTAACGGGATTGGATGGTCAGGCTCGCTGACTTGGTTGACTCGTCATTGTATCCCAACTGCGTCAGTCGATATTCATGATGTTGATCACTGGATTGTCTGGCCCAGACTTGATTACTTACAGACCACCACCATACAGCTGGAATATTGTTGAGTGCAGCATTGAACAACAGACTAACTGCCTCATTCAGAAGTAGCCATTATCAGTACACTCGCATAACCTTATTGGATAGACTGACTGACTGAGTTTTGGGTTTACGCCGCTAGCTTTAGCAATATTCCAGCAACATCACGGCAGGGGACACTAGAAATGGGCTTCACACATTGTACCTATGTGGGGATTCATATTTTAAATGCATGATTTCATTTTGTATACGCACTGATTATTTTATTCATTGTTTCAGCAAATTGAAAATGCCTAATATTCCACTCGTGAATGAAACGGTTGTTTACGGAAGCCATTTGCAATCATCACCCATTTGTGTGCCCACAAAATGTGACGTCACCTTGTTTCGTGGATTACGTAGTCGGTTACTTTATACGACTATGTACGACATCCTGCAGTAAGTATTGACACCAAGGAAAGCAGACAACAAGAAGTGAGAAGGTTGGAGCTAAGAGTATCTTTTTCACTTGACATTTTGTAAAAATAAAATTTTGTAAATGTAATGGTGGTATTACTGGCTAGCGAACAGTTATCGCCATATTTTAGCGGTATTTACAAAATTACTCCGCCGGTTGTTAAATTAATGAAACAGAATTAATTATGATACTTAATTAGCTATTCACCGATGTATCCAGCCCGTTTACTGCCGCCAATCATGTTTTTATATAACGCAGAGGAAGGGAATCAGGGCAGTATAAATAGATGTTTTCTCACAACTAACTGTAACAGTTATCGCCATTCAGAATTTCTCATGCCATTAGTGAAATGATATATATTTATATCATACAGTAACCTCGAATAATTGATTGTATGACTATTTAAGCGTTTCTTTTACAGGAGCTTGATAGGGAATGAAACAATTAATGACGTGTGAACTTGAATTTGCTATTATATAGGTCGTGGGACATCCCCCCGACTAAGTTAAAAATTTGTAATAGGGTTCATAACTTTTAATTTTTCTCTTATGTTACTTGCCGTGAAGAATTTTCTTTTGCTGTCCTGTATTGTTGTCAATTACCGCAGGAAAAATTACCGGAATTGTAATTGACCAGGACTGGGCACGTAAGATATTGATGTAGTGGTGATAACTGTTAGGCGGCGATAACTGTTCGCTAGCCAGTAGTGATGTGGGGCTATCTATCTCAATGCTGGACAATTATCCTCGATATATTTAGTGTACTTGCATGTAATGAAGAGATTCGGAAATTTTTTGTCAGCGAGGCGTGGCATTGTATGTACATCAAAAGTAACGCTTCCTGACATCCCTCGAGACTTAATTTACGAGCTAGCATGCTAATTTCCGCGATCCACGAATCAAGGTTATCCACGAATTTAGGTTACAGTTCTGTATATCAAAATACTGATCAATGATTTAGATCTCATTAAGAGTATGTCTTGTTCAAACCTGGAAATGTGAAGAACATTCCATATTGTTGGGGAGGTCTCACATCTGCTGATACTTTTATCACACACACGTCGTGACACGAAGAAAACATACACTGTTCAAAGTATGACTTAGAGTCTGCATTACTGCTTTCTCAGTACTTTTTTCTATAGATCTTTAGCAAATCGAATACTGTGAAGTACCTTATACAAACAAATAGAGGTATACAGACAAACAAAACGAAATGGTTGAGTCAAGGTCTATTTTCATCAATACGTCTGAATAATCACGTCAATATCCCGAAATTACAAGAAGCCTGGCTCCAGCTCATTTCGATTCTTACACAAGCCCGCTGCTACTCCTGCTCCTTTGGCGACGAGTTTACACCACCACGACGGTCCATCATTCGCCTCTCCTTGCCCCCCTGGAACGGGAGCGGGGTTTGCGCTTCCAATCTGTCCCATTCTTCTCAAATATGACCTGTCATCTCATGATCGTCCGTCACAGATCAACGTGGACGATGTTGTTATTTTAATAAGAATACTTCCGATTTCAGTGCGCCTGCGCACAATGTTGATTAGCCGTCAAGAGTTGTCTCCCTTAGAACGCGCCTGACGCAAACGACTGACTGACTGACTGAGTTTGGTTTTACGCCGCTTTTAGCAATATTCCAGCAACATCACGGCGGGGACACCAGAAATGAGCTTCACACATTGTGCCCATGTGGGGATTCGAACCCGTGTCTTCGGCGTGTCGAGCCAACGCTTTAACCATTAGGCTACCCCACCGCCCCTGACGCAAGTTACGCTCCTACCCAGACCGTTACATTGTCAGTAATATACATATCGCGATATCTTCTTCACTATTAGAGACTATACAGAGTTTTGCTTGGCTACCACGCCATTCCAGAGCGTGACACTTGGCAAAGATGTTTGATTTCATAATTTCAAATATAAGTAAATTCCATTTAATTACCAAGAAAGCTAATTCAGAAGTGAAACAAAATATTGACAAGTTTATGGGATAGATTCATGCAAGTCATCGTACATTAGATCCATAGATCGACCCTCATCTGGTCCAGTAATGATTTCATAGATTGAACACTTTTGACTGTGGTGTTAAACCATAGAGAAACCAAATCCCTTGTAATGTGATTGCAAGAGACATACACGCAGGAAAATAGGTTTGATTCCAAATAAGGGCACAACTTCAGTCATGTTGGCCCAACCGTGAAATCAGAGGGAAAATACCGGTATGTGGTGTCTGGTGAAATGTAAGAAACACCGACTGCTAAAAAGCCATTCACTCCATGCAGAAGAACAAAGACAGAAAAGCAACACATGAAATTCTGTTTTCTTCCTGTAGATGTGGCAAGTGAACTACGTCCGAATCCAGGACAAAATTCCCCGGACAAATCCCCCGAAAAACAAAACAACCCCGGACATCTTTAGCTTTAGATTAAAGGTTCTGCTGATCTTTGATGTGATGATGTCCTATGATCCAATAACATAAATGACAAATGAATAAATGTATGCTCATTGGCATTTATAAATAAGTCAAATAAAACTAAATGTGCAATGCATGATGTGAAAAATGTGCTCAAAATATGTGCTATGTGCTCTTTGACCTTGTTGAATGTTGAAATAGGTTGAATCAATATATTCCACAACACGTGAAGATTATTTAAACTGTGTTTGTGAACCAGTCAATGTAAGAAAGGTACTATACGAATTCCAAACTCATAATTATGCCAGTTTATGTGGATGTATATGTATAGATTATTGAACGAGTGCCTCTAGATATCGCTTTGTAATACATTTACAGGGAAATAAGCACGTATCTTATGAGCGCGAGCGGTATTTAACGAGAAGTATGTAATGTTTCATTTATTATACATGTAAGGTATACTCAATTCTTAGTTTAAGGTGAAATTAAAACTCGTGAATACAACATTAAAGTTTGGATCCCAGGCAGTTCTTCAAGTAAACCCCTTGAAGATCCGGGTTAGAATTTATCTTCAGCAACCCATGCTTGTCGTAAGAGGCGACTAATGAGATCGGGTGGTCAGGCTCGCTGACTTGGTTGACACATGTCATAGTATCCCAGTTGCGCAGATCGATGCTCATGCTGTTGATCACTGGATTGTCTGGTTCAGACTCGATTATTTCCAGACCACTGCCATATAGCTGGAATATTGCTGAGCGCAGCGTAAAACTAAACTCAATCAATCAATCTCTCAAGTAATAACTGGCAATACAAAATATGATCCGTAACAAAAACATGGCCAAGTTAGAAAATATACATTTCTCTAAAAATAATTGCTTCGGTGTGTGACACTCGTTTTGGTTTAATCGAGGAAGGGTCCCTTTCTTTGTGAAGACATGCACCTCCGGTAGGAACATATCAAATGTACCCAAGTGTGGCAGTAGCAAAGTGCTGAGGTGAGGTTGTAGATAATTAGAGAGCAGCTATTGGATTATAATTTTATATTTATAATTGAAATTAATTGATGGGGGTGGGGAGTTACGTGAAGGTTGGAGATCGTTGCAGTTGTAACTAACGAAAATGTAAATACATGTATTCTATACTTTGTTCAGGGTTAACACACTCAGATACACACACACGCACGCACGCGCGCGCGCACAAAGACACGAACACAAAAAGACACACGCACGCACATACACACACACACACACACACACAAAGACACATTCATACACATACATGTATGTCCCTAAACACTAACTAAATCATGGAATATCTACTGCATTTATACGTTCGTGTTATATTCAGAGTCTAAGTTAAAAACAAGCATGTTTTTAGTCCACACAACATATACTCCAATATGAAAACGAAGATTCATGGAGTGTAATATCAAAAAAAGCATAGCGGACGTAACATTTGTCATATAGCTGAGATGGTAAAGCAATATTTATAATTTTTGATAGTTCGTGTTACATAAGATTTTCCAATTATACTTTAAAATACCGAAGCTCATAACTTTAACTGAATAAAGCTTAATAGTTCGTCAATAGGATAATGACATAATGAAAATGGCAACGGAGCTGACACAAAATTGCGTGGGAGGATTTGATTATTACATTACTGTGCATGTACAGTTCAGTTATTCATGCACGTCGTAATGTCAAAATGTAGTATCCTTCATCTCTGTTGAGGGCGGGTCCTATCTTCTTGATGTGTACTGCTTCCAAAACCACCCTCAACAGAGATGAAGGATACTACATTCCCAATGCCTACCATCACTTTATAAAGTAATCAATAATATTTCTTGTGTACATTACCTGTTTCATTCCAACTATGTACATCAACCCCATCCATTGTATAAACATCCACCTGGCTTCCTATCAGTTGTATAAGCTCTAATTTAGTCTTTGTATGTCACCCTACTGGCTTCCTATCAGTTGTACATCAACCTCATATATTGTATAAACAACTCATTCCATATCTACTGTAACAACAACTCCTGTATATATTCTCTCAATTTGTTACTCATGTATCACTTGCTTGAGAACGACATCAGAACCTACGTCGAAACGTCGCCTCCACAGAATAAAAGAAGTTGTATATCCATAATAATAGTCATTATTCTTCATCAACACAACTTCTAAAATGCCCATCAAAGAAGTCTGTGTGTAGTGTCACATTTGCATTGCCAATTCATCAATGAAAAACGTAAAAAGGAAAGGGCTTAAAAACAGCCTTGTCTAACACCTAGTTCACTAACATTTTACTACTAAGACCGTGCGATTCCCCGTAGTTTATTCCGCTGCACTGAATCAAAGGCCTTTGCAAAATCCACGACTAATGCGCAGAATTTACTACCTTTTGAGCAGAGACATCTTTGTATTAGACTAGCCAGTATCAAGATATTATCTGTTGTTGTTTATCCCTCCCTAAAGCCCACTTGATCCTCTTATATCTGATCCATGACATCAGCCCATTTAACTAATCTTTTGTTGATGATATAGGTAAATAACTTGTCAAATATAATAAGTACAGTTATTCCACGGTAGTTATTGGTATCTTTCGGATCACCCTGTTTATAGATTGGAACAAGAATGCCAACTGACCAAGATTCAGGAAAGTTCCAGTGTCGAGAATAATGTTGAATATAAGGAATATATGGAAGTAGAAGATCAGATGAATGTTTGAAAAAATCTGGGAAGATGTTGCCTATACTTGGTGATATATTACACTTCTGATGTTGTATACTGTTTAATATGAAATCTCTACTTATTGGGGCATCCACTTATTGTATTATTTTCTAGTCTTTTTCCTTTTCTGTTCCATAAACACCTTTATCCTTTCCTTGCAAGTATTGTTATATCTATTTAAAGCTTTGTGGTAACTCTCCAGGGATTGCAATCATCTTCTCGGAAGAGGTTAAGAAATTTACACCTTTCTTTTTTTTAAATGATCACATTCATTATCACACCAAGTATTCGTATTATGGTTTCTGTAAAGGGGCGTATCCGTTTTATTTTCAAATCCGAAGCAGCTAGACACAATGCTTCTACGACATAATCTACACATTGACTTATATCAGTGAATGCTACATCAACAGATTTATCAAACACGTCTTGTATATCACCCGATAGTAAATGCTTTCTGAATTGCGACATTCTATAACTATTCCAAATAAATATGTATGCTTCAGACTGTACTAGTGAGTGATGCGCACGTAAATCTAAGGTTAACGGGAGGTGAAAAGACTGCTTTAGTAGGTATAACAAAATTTAATACGTTCTCAAATAGATGTGCAGAAGCTAAGATATAATCTATAACACTTGTGCAATTTGTACCTATAATTGTAAAATCACGTAGCATATAATCTTTACCACATCTGCCATTCATAATGTGTATATTTGAAATGGTACATGAATCTAAGAGGCATCTACCGAAATGGTTACCAACTTTTTTCGTAGGAGAACCGTTCTAGATTGAAATAATCCAACATGAAATCACATGGATTGGAATGATCTTTACTTTCCGTATGATATAGTATGTCATCATCAACAAAATCGGGAAGAGTAGCTGTCCGGGCATTAAAATAACCCCCAGAAAGCAAGCATAGGGGCGTGTCTCGCTTAGAAACAACGTTAGGAAGATATATAGGTATATAGACCCTACCCTATTACTATATCCTTCTATATACATGTGGTAATAGGGTAAGGTTTATATACTATATGTATATGTCTTTCTAACACTGTTTTTAAGCGCGACACGCCCCTATGAAAGCAAGTATATATCTGGTAGGTCAAATATTATATATCCAACAGTTTTTCATCGAAAAGTGTATTACCAGTTTCACAATGTCCTCTCTTGAACCGAAGGCGCATTGTTCTAGAAATCGTATCAAACAAAGGGATACCCGTTCAATATTTTCCTTTCACAATTCCTTAAGCACAGACCCGTGGAGATCCGGGTTAGAATTAGTCTTCAGCAACCCATGCTTGTCATAAGAGGATTGGGTGGTCAGGCTCGCTGACTTGGTTGACACATGTCATCAAATCCCAGTTGTGTAGATCGATATTCATGATGTTGATCACTGGATTATCTGGTCCAGACTCGATTGTTTACAGACCGCCGCCATATAGTTGGAATATTGCTGAGTGCAACCAAACCCTACCAAAACTCCATTTTACTGAGGAGAATGTTACCGTACATTTGTGGTTGTATAATTTACAATATGTGCGCAAATATGTAAAGGGAGACACAGTTAGATATGTCACGACGTGATCACGAAGTGCAGTTACTTAAGATATGAAAGGATTACAAACGATGCACCATGAGACACTGTTGACCAGGCCACACATATACCCAACCTAAATACTAGTATTGTGAGTGAGTGTGGGTTTACGCAGCTTTTAGCATTACATGTATTCCACAATATCATGGCGGGGGGTTACCAGATAATGGGCCTCACAGATATTGCCCATGTTGGGAATCGAACCCGGGCCTTTGGTGTGCCGAGCGAACGCTTTAACCACTAGGCTACCTCACTAGTATGTGATGGTGAGATAATATAAGTAACTTTTCGCATAGCATAACACAATATTACAATATTCTAATTAATACGCAACTTAAGTCATAGAAATATTAAATTCAGTACAAACACATTTTTTAAAATTCGAATGACAGCAAAACCCATTCTAAAGATACAACATATACGGAGAACCATTTTATTTTACAACATCAACCAGCGATTTGGTAGCCTTGCTTATTCATCGCTGCGCATTTCTTATTTTTAGCCTCTTTTACAATTACCTGTGGCTCCTTGAAAACCATAACCTTCTGTTCTGTCGAGATGTTCCCTTGGTATTTTGGCCATTCAGGCAAAATTCCCAAAATATTCGGGTTTCCGTATTTAGCAAAGTTTGTCCAGTAGCCAATCATGGTAGAAGACAGTTTCTCATCTCCGGAAGTGACGTCATATCCAACCAGACGTGGCGTATCGTATAGGAAAGGCAGGTCAACCCCGTGACAGGTTTTGTTGACACAGTGGGTAGCACTTCCCCATGCATCTATAGACAATGGCTGCTCAAACCGATAAACCCAAACGTTTTTGGACGAGGACAAAATGTCCGCGAACAATGTACTTGGGCAGGAAAACATGAAATCTGTGATGACTTTCGATAAAGCTGGGCGCGCATCGCCCCGCACAGTATACAGGCTGGAAATGGCCGAGCTGTTTGGAATGAACATGTTCAGAACAAACGAAAACAAAAACATTGGAACCCGGTGTGGTACGGCTCCATAAACATATGCGAGACCCTCATCTGATGTCGTTCCTATAATGATGTCTTTGTCGATTGAGGTAGTTGCTAGGATTGACAGTAAATTCCCTGAAATATTTCTCCCATCAATAACAGGCCCCCAGGCCTCAAACTGCATAGCGGAATTGTCAGATATTTGATCCTTTGGTATAGAATTTTGAGCCTGTAAGACCTCAGAAGCTGATTTCGATCGGAAACATTGTATATCTCTGGCCCTGCAGCCGAGCTGTCTGGCAAACAGGTCTATTTGTCTCTCAGCTTCTGTCATGTTTCTGAAGGGCAAGGCCATGGGCGAACTTTGAATTATTGCGCGCTGAAAGTAGTGCGAGACTGACGGAGTAACTAGATGAACACACACTGATTGGGCACCAGCGCTTTGTCCAAATATGGTAATCTGAAATAAAGAAGAGAGTTGATTAGGTTTGAGTCCACAAAATTTGCATTCGTAATTAGAAGAACAAACGTACCTACGAAGCATTTATATACCTAAAAGGGTCGGTTGGTATTTATACAGGTCTACCAAGGACATTTTTGTTCAACCCAAAACTTGAAAACCATTTGGGATAGCTTATAAATTTGCTGCGTCTGAAGGAAAGATGCAGTGCAAATTTTGATAATGATACTAGTATTTAATTTTTCCTCAAAGAATTACAGTTACAGCAATTTATAAAGTTAAAGTTTGTTTAAACAATGACTTGAAAAGTATTGGTCAAAATGTTTTCAGATTTGTCAAATAGCTTCTTAGTCTAAAGGAGAGATGCAGTGCAAAGTAGCAGTTGGTTCATTTAGAAATGTGAATCGTGATATGACCCTCACCTTGTTGTTGTCGCCACCGAAGGCCCGGATGTTATCATGGACCCACTTCAGCGCCAGCTGTTGATCAAGCAGGCCGTAGTTCCCCCCAACGACATCGCCATTCACAACCCGAGGTAGAAACCCAAACGCTCCTGAAAATGTTAAAGAAAGTCTGTTGTTTATTTCTTTTGTTGTTTAAGGCCGTAGCATAATTCCAGCTACATAACGTCGGCCTGCGAATATTCCGTCAGCAACGATTAACCCCGTCGGAATACGAAACTACGCCATCAATAAAAAAAATAATATAAAATATTTTCATGCATGTTTTATTTAACCCACTCACCGATCGGGAGATAGGTTTGCTTAAACAAATTGATAATTTATAAATTCATATTTTTACCACTTGATGTGAAAAATCTGTTACCGTTTTGATTAAAAAGAGCTTGCCAGTGCACAACTGACATGACTACAGAACTGAGTAATTTCAGGACCATCTGTTACAACACATTACAGATCGTACAATGAGAATCTGAAAATCAATCCTCGAAGCGACTCCATGTTTTTTAAAACAAGGTAATTCGGGATTGTTTAAATGTAAGTGGGTACCTCTTAATCATACAATGCAACCTCTAAAAATGCTCGATCAAAATGAAAATAAGCTATGGAATCTTTTGAGACGACCCAAAATGTCAAAATACCATCGGCACATCACCGTATGGATGCAAGAGATTTTGTTGTGTGGCGTATATGATGGATGACTTATCGATCAGATTGACGCAGAATGTTCAGTCAAACTAATAGCTATGCGATCATGGATAACGGTCTTTTCACACAAATACCGTCCCATGAGCATCCAGATGTTGCTAAATGATGAGGTGGACTGATATCACCTAGCCAAGGCAAGCATAGGACACATAAATGTACATATATAATGTTCATCTTTAACAGGCGAGCCTGAATGTTTCAAAAGAATATCCATAAGTTTGTTTCGCAAAGACTTAAGATACAGTATCTGTTTCTATCACTTTCTGACCACTTTGACGCATTCTCTAAAAAAATGTGTACGGTATTTATTTATTTATTTATTTATTTATTTATTTATTTAGTTAGTTATTCAATTTTCTTTCTTTCTTTATTTGTTAATTTTATTTATTTATTTATTTATTTATTTATTTATTTATATTTATTTATTTATTTATTTATTTATTTATTTATTTATTTATTTATTTATTTATTTATTTATTTATTTATTTATTTATTTATTTATTTTCACACCTGATATAATACAATTCGTAATTGTTAACTGAGGCTTCCTATATTAATACTACCATTTGGCATTCCCAACACCCAAGACTCGTGAACATCCGGGTTACAATTGCATTGGTCTTCAGTAACCCGTGCTTGTCGTAAAAGGCGACTAACGGGATCGGGTGGTCAGGCTCGCTGACTTGGCTGACAGATGTCATCGTATCCCAGTTGCGTAAATCGATGCTCATGCTGTTGTTCATTGGATTGTCCAGACCCGATTATTTACAGACCGCCGCCATATACTGGAATATTGCTGAGAGCGACGTATAAATACATATAATAAAATGCAGCAATAGGCAATAGTCCATCTGTAGAACGACGGACTAATCATTCAGAAGCCAAGGTGATATCACATTTGTCAGACATCCCAGTTGTCAGACACGTGAGTGAGGGTGGAGAAGGCTCACCCCTACTGTAATAATAGATCAGCCCGACCAGTCCTAATTAGCCCAACCTCTGCTCACCACTCCCTTAATTGAATAATTCCCTGTTCTGTAAGACAGTTTATTCGATTTTCAGGCCATCGGTCCATGTACACTATTGAACGTGAATATATTGATATAATAATGAACGTGGATATAATGATAATAATAATGAACGTGAATATAATGATAATAATAATGAAAGTGAATATAATGACAATAATGAAAGTGACAATGATTATTCAATGCGGAGAGACAAGCAATAATTAACATATTTTGTTACATTTAGAATAATTCCACGATCTTCACTGCATACTTAAATCTTATGAGAATAAAAAGTAGGGTTATCAGAAAATCTACATTCTGCAGACAAACAAAAAGTGTATCTTCAAAAAACATCTTCAACTACATTATTATTAGAATTCTTGCAGAAACACAAACATTCATCTACACCCTGCCTACGACCAATAGTTGTTTGATTAGGTAACTCGTCTAATCCAAGCAATCTAATTTATCTCCTAAACTCCCCGTTTCTATTCTTCATGATATAATATTCTGTATCAAAAAACGATTTCTACTGGAGATAATATATCAACCTATCAGATGTACTTATGTTATTAAAAATTACCTGTATATTACGCTCACATATGCGTTTGCTTAAATAGCATGAAAAACATGTACATATTACCATTATCCTGACGTGTAAAACTGTAGGAGATTTTGTCAGAGACTCCAGTGCACATAATAATCCGCCCCCAGAAGAAACACGACTCCTTAACGAGCGCGAGGAGAACCTATCCTTCCGATGCCATCACTCCACTAGGATGTCGTTCTGAAATCCTACATGACTCCTGATAGCGCTCTGTACAGACACAGCAGTCACACCATTCCCAGACTTTCACTGACACTTGCCGATGTTCAGTTAGATGGGATTTGGACAGATTGTTGATGGGGAAGATGACAAGATGGTTGTCTTTGCTAACAGTCATCCAGTTGGAAGCTCTCCAGTCTCCACCAATTGTCTATATGGATGGAACCTTTTACCGCCAGTCCTGATTTGTGGAACCAGCTTTATATCATCCATGCAAGAGTTAGATCAGCATCTTATCCTTTGGTGTTCACCCTCATGCCTAGTCTGTCTCACAGTCCCTGAACCACATTAATTTCCCTACTGCCTAGTCTGTCTCACAGTCCCTGAACCACATTAATTTCCCTACTGCCTAGTCTGTCTCACAGTCCCTGAACCACATTAATTTCCCTACTGCCTAGTCTGTCTCACAGTCCCTGAACCACATTAATTTCCCTACTGCCTAGTCTGTCTCACAGTCCCTGAACCACATTAATTTCCCTACTGCCTAGTCTGTCTCACAGTCCCTGAACCACATTAATTTCCCTACTGTAGTCTGTCTCACAGTCCCTGAACTACATTAATTTCCCTACTGCCTAGTCTGTCTCACAGTCCCTGAACCACATTAATTTCCCTACTGCCTAGTCTGTCTCACAGTCCCTGAACCACATTAATTTCCCTACTGCCTAGTCTGTCTCACAGTCCCTGAACCACATTAATTTCCCTACTGCCTAGTCTGTCTCACAGTCCCTGAACCACATTAATTTCCCTACTGCCTAGTCTGTCTCACAGTCCCTGAACCACATTAATTTCCCTACTGCCAAGCCCTCTCTGCAGTGCTAAAGCCCTAAATAAAGCAAGTCTAGATTTCTTCAGGTTCAGGTTCTGAATCTCTGGTCTCCCTAGGGCACCTTTTCAATATAAATAGGCTTGTTTGTTACTATCAAAATTATATATATTCAGAGACTAAGCCTTAGTCTACCTCATACCCAGCCGTACGATTGCTACCTACCGCCGCCTGTCCTCAAGACACATTCCAACGCATCGTGAATCGTCCACTTGCCCCAACCAAGATCCAGACAGATTTCGAGATGGCTGCCATCAGAGCTGTCCAATTGGAATTCCATGCGGCAGAAGTGAAATGACGTTTTGTTCACTTTGCCAAAGCGATATGGCGGAGTGAACAAGCCTTCGGACTGGTTGAGAGCTACCATGAAGACACTGAAGTGGACTGATTGACTGAGTTTGGTTTTACGCCGCTTTTAGCAATATTCCAGCAACATCACGGCGGGGGACACCAGAAATGGGCTTCACACATTGTGCCCATGTGGGGATTCGAACCCGGGTGTTCGGCGTGACGAGCCAACGATTTAACCATTAGGCTACCCCACAGCCCCACACTGAAGTGGAGAAATGGTTTCGACGGGCATCTACCTTGACCCCTCTTCCGTTGACCTACGTCCAAGATGTTTGGATGGATGCTATGGGAACGGGTCCTGATGTAGCAGTTTCATTCAACGGCTACATAGTGACGACCTGGGTGGACGACGACGCCTTATTTCCACTGTGGAATCCATGTGGAATCATCGTGACACTTTCGGTCCAAGAACAACCTGGAAGGGTTCAACAGCCGACTGAATGCCAGCCTATCAAGCCAACACCCGAACATGTTTCCCCTGATCCATACTTTGAAGAAAATCGAGAAGGCAGACCGTCTGGAGATTGCCCAGTTTGACTTGGGTGTTGTTTCTCCAGCACGGAGCAGAGTGTATAGAGAAATACACAACCGACTGGGCAGGTTGCAGGAACAGCTAGAGGGAAGAATGAAGACTCTGATCCAATATCTGGATGCTGAGGGGATTCTAGTGAAGCTGGGTTGAATTGGCAATATCAATGTATATCATCATGTGTTGAATTTTAGTGTTGGGGAGACACATAGTCAACTGATCGCTGAAAACTGGATTAGGTTCCACACCATTGTTAGAATTGGTCTTCAGTAACCCATGCTTGTCGGAAGAGGCGACTAACGGGATAGGGTGGTCACTGGTCAGGCTCGTTGACTTGGTTGACACATGTCATTGTAACCCTATTGAGTTAATCGATGCTCATGATGCTGATCACTGGATTGTCTGGCTCAGACTCGATTATTTACAGACCGCCGCCATATAGCTGGAATATTGCGTTAAACAACAAACAAACAAAAAACTGATAAACAAGATAAACTCTGGTTTTCGACATTACAGGCGAATGTTTCCGGTGACAAGCGTTTATTCAAGAACCAGTTCTGGTTTCAAATTGCGAGGCAGCCAAATATAACTTTACTAGACCGGACCAAGTGTACAACCATGCATGGCTGTCATAGCTGTTGACAGTCGTAATAGTTGGCTTTTTTATTTTTTTTATTTGGGGATGGTTGGATCGGAAATTTGTTATTGTCAAGTGACAACCATGAGACCATTCAAAAAGGTATGTAACGTTGTTTGTCACCGGAAGTACTAAACAACGTAAGGTCTCGCGAAGTGCCGTGACCTACGTACGGGACCTATAAGACTGAGCCATATTTGTGTCAAGGAAGTGAAAATATACATACCTAATCTGTAGTTGATCGTCACCAGTATAACATTTCCCTTCTTCACAAACACATCGCCGTTGAATAACGGTGAGCTCCCGGAGTAAGACAGGAAATCCCCACCGTGTATGAACACCATGACAGCATACCCCGACCCCTCGGGATTACCCCTGGGGACGAACACGTTCAGGATCAGGCAGTCTTCAGACATCTGGAGGTACACAATGGTGAGACTTAATGACGTGAGTGATGAGTTTAGTTTTTCGCTGCTTTTAGCAATATTTCAACAATATCACGTCGAGGACACCAGAAATGGGCTTCACACATTGCACCCATGTGGGGAATCGAACCCGTGACTTCGGCGTGTAGAACGAACGCTTTAACCACTGGGCCACCCAACAGCCTATAATGGCTAATGACCTTGATTCGTGCAAAGTATGTCTTTCTAAAACATAAAAACGGAAACGATCAGAAAGAAATATGTTTATAATACAAATTGTTGGGTAATTTGTACCTTTAGTTAGTAAGTGAGCGAGTTTACTTTTACGCCGCTTTTAGAAAAATCACGACAGGGAATACTAGAACTGCGCTTCAATATACCCATGTGGGGAATCGAACCCGGGCCTTCGGCGTAACGAGCGAACGCTTTAACCACGTGCACTAGGCTGCCCCACCGCCCCGTAGCATTAGTGAGTGAGTTAATGAGTGATGGCATGGCGCAGTATTCCAGTTATCACAGATTGGTATTTGAGAAAAGCCGGCATTGATACATGTCTTAGACCACCACTTTGCTGAAACCTAGGAGTAGGGGTATGGTGCTGAAAAACTTAGAAACACATTCGAACCCACGATCGTAGGTTTCTGGCGTTCTCAACCTTGCCAAGCACATTAAGAGACTCTAGGTTCTGAGAAGCAATAAGAGTAGTGGTTAGAATCGTCCTTGTTGTAATTACATGTAATAATATGATACACAGAAATACCTTGTAAACCGATATTAATGCAATTGCTAAAGAAATACGAGAATGCGGCACTGACAATCGCTCCGTGTTAATATGTATTTCGCATTCGCTTTCTAAGGGTTTATTTGTAGGGCTGCGCAAGATAATCGGTTTAACGGTATTTACCGGTTCAGACATTAAAACGATACGTATTGCGATACGCTGATCGAAAACCGGTATTTTGACATGCATTCGGAAAACTTCGTAACACTCGGAAATCTTCGGATATTTCTGTTTATTGGATTGTTCTTTTCCCTGTTTCATTAGTGCCAAATGTTACTTAAATTTTTATTTTGTCATGATTAAAAGTTTTATAAAAGGTTAATCAATCAAGCATTAACACGATTATAAGTAGCTTTTGTTAAAAAAAAATAATCCTTGCAATATATTGCAATACATATCGCAATATATGCTTCCGCATCGCAATATGAAAATTCTCTGCAATATCCACCCCTACTTATTTGGGTGGTGGGGTAGCCTAGTGGATAAAGCGTTCGTTTGTCACGCCGAATGTTTGAATACCCCACATGGGTACAATGTGTGAAGCCTATTATTTTTCTGGTGTCCCTCGCCGTGATATTGCTAGAATATTGCTAATCGCGGCGTAAAACCATACTCACTCACTAAAACAGAACAGCTTGCCAGTTGGAATTACGTTCTAGTTACTTCAGATATGTCGCAGTTTAACTGAATAACAAAGTGAGACGCTTTATGATGATTAATTTGTGACCAGTTTTCCTTATTCCATGCCCTGTATTCAGAGCACCAGGCAGGGAAAAAACAAATAACACTTTTCATTGTCTTTCGGTAGGAAGCCACCAGGGTATCGAACCATCGGTCTGCTGCTCTCCGGGCAGCCTGTCCAGGTGCCTACGGGGGTGACGCGAACATATGGAACATGAACTGTTGTACATTTACCTGGGGGACACAGAGATGAGGAGGGGAGGAGGGGCAGTCTTGGTAGCACATGGGGCCCACTCGTGTAGCTTCCACGGGCCGGCTCCATGGGGATGGGGGCGTCGGGGCCTCGAATCTGCAACAGATAAAGATACACTCATGTTTATCCTGCATTGGGATTTAAGGTTGTCACATAATATCAGATATCTATTGAGGACATTGTTTTTTAATAAACTGACCGATCTGGTCTTTCTACCAAAGACCTGTTAGGTGCACAAACTAACTCTTTAGCGTAATGCAATTTTTAAGTCAACTGGTAATAACCAAATAATTTTTTGAAATGATATAATCAGGGCTCCATATAAGGGCCGTATCGGCGTATGTACGGAGAAAAAATATGCACGATACGGTAGGAAATAATTTAGAAACAGTAGCAGATACGCACCACAGCAGTGGTGTATGGTCTTAGAATCATTTACAGACGTATTTATCTGAAAAAAGTATTGTTTTATTGTTATTTACCTGTTTACACAATAGTAGCAATGTTGCGGTGCATATATGAAACGAAACACAAGATCACATACTCCATTAAATTCAATTCAGTACTCTAAAAGTTTGTCCAGTACTCCTATATTTAAAAAATAAGGAGTACGTACGTACGTCATAAAGGCATTCTATAACACGACTGTTGTAATTATAGAATTGTACCGTACGTGGTGAGTTGGATGTACGATGCAGCTTTTATCTATGTTTAGGTTATAACAGGGAATGTTGCCAAAGTTTATGTGCAACATCTTCTTTTTCGTGAGTGCGACGTTTCAATACAGATTCTTGTACCGTTGTCAGGCAGGAATTTCTGCTTCAAGCATTCCGACTTGACAACGGTACAAGAATTTGCGTCGAAACGTCGCTGTCACGAATTGGAAGAAGTTGGCACGGCTCCAGATAATTTTTCAACATCAGGAGTATGTACTCCTTATTTTTTCAATACAGGAGTACTGGAAAAACTTAAGAGTACATTTAGAGTACTGAATGGAATTTAATGGCGTATCAGTAATCTTGTGTTTCGTTTCATATATGTACCACAACATTGCTAGTCTTGTGTAAACAGGTCAATAAACAATAAAACAATACTTTTTCAGATAAATACGTCTTTAAATGATTCTAAGACCGTACACCATTGCTGTGGTGCGTATCTGCTACGTTTCCTAAATTATTTCCTATCGTATCGTGCATATCTTTTAGCCGTACATACGTCGATACGGCCTTTATCTGGAGCCTTGAGTTGGTATCCATAAAGTTGTCAATATTATACTTCCCAACTGAAATGCCATTCAAAGAAGTTATATCAGGAAGGCAGACATAAAGACAAGTCCATACATTATGATCATGTTGAGATTGGGGTATTTAGGAATAGAGAGGGAACACTCGGACCGCTCGACATTCTGGGGCTTGGTTCCTGGTTGGGGCTGCGGCAGTTCAGTATTGTTCCGTTTTACAAAAGTGTTGACAGATCTGTACGAGTCAACAAGGAGTCCTGGTTTTTGGTTCCAACGGTCAGGCTAGATGACTCGGTGTGCTCATAATATCAATCCCTGGAGTGAATATTACTTAGTGCGGCGTTAAACAACAGTGGGGTTGAGGACATGACTAGTTTCAAATTCCTCCAAATGATTATGTAGATTTCTCTGAACCTATAATAGCATGACAGATTAATTATATTGATAGGTGAGGTGAGGTTTTTAGTCTACGCCGCTTTTAGCAATATTGCAGGCGGGGGACACCAGAAATGGGCTTCACACATGGTACCCATGTTATAATGATAGGGATGACCCTTAAGGTGAGTGAGTGAGTTGGGTTTACGCCGCTTTTAGCAATATTCCAGCAATATCACGGCGCGGGACACAAGGAATAGGATTAAATTACATTTGTGACGTCATTACATTGTCTGCTCGCTCCAGCGATGTGTACCAGTTTCAAATTTAAGACTTCATTTTGTCATTTTGACATTTAATTTTGATAACAGAAATATTACCAATACTTTGAATGTAATTTAAGTAAGTAGGGTAATATCTTCGTAACTCTCCATTCCTTAAAAATAATGGGCCTCGGCCCCTCCGGGGCTCCTCGGCTCCATTATGTTTAAGGAATGGAGAGTTACTCGGACATTACTCTCTACTTCACACATTGTTACCATGTGGGGAATCGAACCCGGGCCTTCGGCGTGACTAGCGAACGCTTTAACCAGTAGGCTACCCCACCACCCCTGACACTTAAGGCTGTTTTTAGTGGTATGTGTATATATAGCAAAGATACCGTCCGTAGATATAAAAAGATAAGTGTCCTTCAGGTATGTTTTGACTTGCAGCAATCCAATAAATAACTCTCTTACAGGCATGGCATTCATAACAAATATTATAGCACATCGATTATTTCGAGCTAGGGGTTACGAATCAACCTCGATGAGTAAATTTTTATAAATAACCTTAAACAAATATATATATATTTTTTAAATAACAGAAGAAATATACATACCTTTTTGCCGTGCCATATGTTATCCCCAAATATTGTTTGCTGTTCTCCGTGATTAATCCTCGCACCGGACCGGACCTTGTGTAAATAATTTCAGTCGTACGTTTAACTGGAAGGACGTTTTGAAAAGCAAAAATGGTTGAAGTCAACAAAAAAACTGTCGAGTTCATTGTTAATGTCGCGAGGTACGGTAGTTTCAGAAAAGTATCCGCGGGTTTGTCAGCTCAGCGACGGAATAATAAACAGATGTGTTTGACGCCTCTATATATGCACAGACACGGGGGTCGTATCAAAAAGTCATGAGATAATTACGAGCTTAAGATAGTGGTGTAGTTTCATGGGTGAGCTAACAGTCAACATGCTGATATTAATTAAAGTATCGTCAAAGTCGACAATGTCGCTTTGATATGATCAGACCTGGGTTTGAAATGGTGCAACATCACTACGAGAGCGAACTAACGAATCACGACATCTAACATATTCAGGTCCACGCTTCAGTACTTTACGACATGTGTGTTTGTTAAGGGCGATGACTGCGCATGTCAGGAGTGTGAAGTACCAGGAAGTTGTGACAGACGGTGCTGACCTACATTTAGGCAAGTTTGAACTATTTTATACCATCCAATCAGGATGCGAAGGAGAATTTTAGCCAGGCCATTGCGATGCGTATATTGCAGTGAATCGAATGAATGACGTCATTGACTTCCAGTTCAAAGACGATTGTCGGCACTTGTATAATCGACTGGCTTCCGCCGGTTGTGGTTTAAAATCTGTAATGAATGATTAAAACTGCTGAAATGTTTCAAGTTAATACGTTTGTGAACGTTTAGTTTATTTGTCCACAATACAAAGGTACTGATTAGTAAAGTGCACATTGGCGACATACCCCTAGTTTCATCCATGGGACAACTCCAGCCCCCATTGAGTGAGTGAATGAGTTGGGTTTTCCAGCAACATCACGGCGGGGGACACCAGAAGTGGGCTTCACACATCGTACTCAGGAGTGGAATCGAACCCGGTAACGAGGAAACCCTTTAACCGCTAGGAACCCCTACCGCCCCAGTACTAACGATGTAAACAAAACAGGGGATTTGTTTCATGTTTTACGCCGTACTCGGCAATATTCCAGCTATATAGAGGCGGTCTGTAAAGAATCATGCCTGGACCAGACAATCCAGTGATCAACAACAGTATCATCGATTTACATAACTTGGATACGATGACATGTGTCACAGCCAAATCAGCGACCCTGACCACCCGATCCCGTTAGTCACCTCTTACGAAAGCTTGGGTTGCCGAAGACCAATTATAACCCGGATCTTCGCGGGTTTGCACGATTATCTGTCACTTCGTCTTCGTACGACGTGCGAAGGAGAAGGGATGAGGGGATAAAGGGCACTCGCTCACCCTCCTAGTGGTATGCACATCCGTCACACACCCGACTGTGTCATTTTTACTTCTATGTCCGGATTCAGTTCGCTGAAATTTAACCCGGATGTATGATAAAAGAGATTATACACTCTTGTTCGATGGTGGGAAACTAGACGAGGTTATTCAGAGATGATGTTTTTGATATGGGTATCACAGTTCTATTTTTGCACCTAATATATGATAAAAGAGATTATACACTCTTGTTCGATGGTGGGAAACTAGACAAGGTTATTCAGAGATGATGTGCTTGATATGGGTATCACAGTGAATTGAATGAATGACGTCATTGGCTTCTGGTTGAAGGACTATTGTCGGCGCTTTTGTAATTGACATATTTTATTCAGAGATTATGTATTTCATATTGGTATCACAGATATATTTTGGACCTAATATATGATAAAAGAGTCTATACACCCTTGTTTGATGGTGGGAAACTAGACACGGTTATTCAGAGATGATGTATTTCATATTGGTATCACAGATATATTTTGGACCTAATATATGATACAAGAGTCTATACACCCTTGTTTGATGGTGGGAAACTAGACACGGTTATTCAGAGATGATGTATTTCATATTGGTATCACAGATATATTTTGGACCTAATATATGATACAAGAGTCTATACACCCTTGTTTGATGGTGGGAAACTAGACACGGTTATTCAGAGATGATGTATTTCATATGGGTATCACTGTTATAGTTTGGGTCTGATATATGTAGTGTTTAGCCGACTTTCACCGGAGTAACGTTCTGATAACGTTCGTAGTTTGTTGGTCAAATACAATCTATAAGTAAATGCTTTAATTTGCCCGGGAGTTTATTCATGACCGAAATTGTTCAGTGTACAAAATAGCCATCTAACTGCGAACGATACATGGAAACATATTGCCGAAATGCTTATTTCATTTGATATTTGTATGCGATATTGGAAATGTAAACTTTTTACGAAGATGCGTGAATTATTTCAGATTTTTTCACCATATATTGACTAAGTGGGTATTAATATAAAGGGATGATGTGGTAGCCTTGTGGCAAAAGCGTACGCTAGTCACACCGAAGATCCGGGTTCGATTCCCTACATGGATACAACTGGATTAAGCGCAAGTAACATCATGATCAACCGACTATACCAGAGAGACATTTATATCTCAAATTAAAAACTCAACATATCTTTTCTCTTATTTATTAATATCCCCATCTAGTTGAAACACTGATGACAGTTAAGATTCATTAAAGATTTAACCAAAACTGAATTATTTCGCATGTGGTCTTCGGAATTAATAACAAGTGCTGAAAGAAATCTACGTAAATTAGATTGAAATGTTTGCTTCACAAAAAGGCTCACACAGAGTCACGTTTCTTGTCATATATTTCCAAGTTTTGCATTTTACGTCCAATATAGCTTCCTCTGCTCGCCAAAGCTGTTTGTTCCGTGACGTTGACCTTTCTATATTATCTATAGATGGTACTCAGTTGTTCAGTAGCTACAATAATTATTACCATATTACCACAGACAACTGATTAATACTGTTCCTTTATTAAAGTGTACCCCAGTACGTACTGTAGTTTTATCAGGTTTTACGACCAAACTGTAAGGGATCTTGTCAAACGTTTAAATGACCTTTTAGCGAAAGCGTTTGAAAAATATTGCGTAAACGCAGCACTGTTTGTTCCTGTCAATATGTATTTTATCTTTTGGTTACATGTTAAAACGATTAGTCAACAATACCACCATTCAGATGACTGCGATGACAAGCATTTCTACTTAAAACCAGTGTAAATATAGAACCTTAAATGACTGTAGGTGCGGGTATAGCGTTTTACGTGGTCATTGTCAGCAAGGCTTCCATAAATGGAAGAGCGCTGACATTGAAGACAGGCGATTATGTGTCCCCATCCAAGAATGTGGGTCCAAACCAAGGATGGGACGCACCTGTACCCAGCACATGAATTTGACGCAATATATTTCTTTTATTTTCAGGATTAATTTTATGCATTTACAACTGCTTAAAAATATCGATATCGCAATATATTTCTTTATATTTGACATTCAGGATTAATTTTCTGAACATTTACAACTGCTTAAAATATCGATATAAGAAAATAAGATTTGACTCAATATATTTATTGTTATTTTCATGATTAATTTTATGCACTTACAACTGCTTAAAAGTATCGATATAAGAAAATCTTAAATAATATATTTGTTCAGTATGTTGGTACTCGATGATCACCAAGTCAACGATTTATGTTCGAGTGCGACATTGGTCCGTCAAATGTAACATTTGACGCAATATATTTATTTTTATTTCATGATTAATTATTTACATTTACAACTACTGAAAAATATCGATATAAGAAAAACTTAAAGAATATATTTGTTCAGTTTGTTGGTTCTCGATGAACATGAAACCAACGATTGACATTCGAGTGCGATATTGGCTTGTCAAATGTCCAACAAGAGCAGACTGCGATTTACAACTATTTTTTGTCGTTTAACGCTGCCTTTACCAATATTCCGGTTATATGACGGTGGTCTTCAAATACTCGAGTCTGGGCCAGACAATCCAGTGATTGACATCCTGAACATCAATCTTGGGACATGATATTAGAGCAAGAATTAGCCCTGAAAGGTCGTGCAAAGAGTAAAAAGAAGTTGCTATCCATATAAACGTGACAACATTGTATTCATGTTCGTCCAACTTCTAAATGCCTTTCAAGAGCTTGATTGACATCACGCTGCTGGGATACGATCACACACAATCATACAAGTCACTGCACTGCCTGTTAAGATCAGCTTGGGACATGGTACTGGGTCATATTCTTATCCCCAGTCGGAACCTTGATATAAAATATCCACAAGCTTTCAAAACAACATGTTCGTCACGATATGGCTGAGATATTACCGATGTGACGTTAAATATATACTCACTCACTCACTCACTCAAAAACAACATGTGACACTAAACAAACACAATTTATTTTTCAGCGCGTTCATGGAAGCCAGTTAACCTAAGTGCTCGCCACTAGTATGAAGCACATATCTTAAGTACTGTGTGATCTTTGTACAAAGCAATTTCTAATTGTCCTGTTGTTATTTGAACTCATAACACACTTCAATCTCAGTTGTTCATGGAAGCCAGTTAACCTAAGTGCTCGCCACTAGTATGAAACACATATCTTAAGTACTGTGTGATCTTTGTACAAAGCAATTTCTAATTGTCCTGTTGTTATTTGAACTCATAACACACTTCAATCTCAGTTGTTCATGGAAGCCAGTTAACCTAAGTGCTCGCCACTAGTATGAAACACATATCTTAAGTACTGTGTGATCTTTGTACAAAGCAATTTCTAATTGTCCTGTTGTTATTTGAACTCATAACACACTTCAATCTCAGTTGTTCATGGAAGCCAGTTAACAGAAGTGCTTGCCTATAGTGTTAGAATATTTATCTAAAGTGCTGTGTGATCTTTGTACAAAGCAATTTCGAACTGCCCTGTGCATATTCCAACTGATATTATACTACAATCTCAGCTGGTTTATCTAAAACCAACTGAGCTATAAATCTAACTGCGTGCATTTGAGGAAGCCGTTTTTCTTATCACCATGAAATACTAATGAACACAGAGGTTCACAAAGCTTTTTTGCTTTTCGTTTAACCCCGCATTCAGCAATTTTCCGGGATTATGGTAGTGGTCTGTAAATAACTGAGTTAGATTGACAGGGATTGATCCCACATAAGAGCTAATATACAAAAACATACCGAAAACAAACAAACAAACAAACAAAACCACCCCATAGCCCATCCCCAC